TTCTTGATTGCATGCTCGACTGCACGTCGCCTCGCGTATACGACCTTTCGGACTGCCCCCCCCCCCCCCCGGAGCCCTGGGACGGTGGTTGCGCTTGCCCGAGGAGCGCTCCGACGCAAGAGAGAGAACCCCGATTGAAGAGGCAAAATACTCTTAACGCAAGCATAATTGCATCACCCATGTCCAAAATGATGGCCGCCCCACGATGTGGCCAATACAGCGGGAACGCATGGCACGCCCCATATATATATATATATATATATATATATATATATATATGTATATATATAGAGAGAGAGAGAGAGAGAGGAACAAACAGCCGCACAGTGACCACTTCTCCTCTCCCGAGGTAACGGTCGCTAGCCCGGCGGTGGGAGGTCGGGGGGCGGGAGGGCAGCAGTCATGGCGGCCGCGGCGTGCACCCGCCAGGGTGCGTCCGCGCCACCGGCGCACCGATCGCCTGTAGGCACGACAGCATGCAGTGGGGGCCCAGCCCCCCCCCCCAGCACAGGGCAGCTTTTAATACATAGGATGTTAAAACACACGGTTTTTTGTTTTTGAAAACATGATTAATGAATGAACAAATGTATGCCTGAACTCATCTTTGTTTTTAATACTAAATCCCTGCATTTTTAATACATGATCCGCACGCGGAACATGTATGAAAAACGGCACTGTAGGCACGACAGCATGCAGTGGGAGCCCAGGCAACCCCCCGGTACGATCGTGAGCGTTGCCCGGGGGAGGGGGGCTCCGCCAGGGCAGCGAGAGCGCCTTACCCCGAGGAGGACAAAACACAACGCTCACACAGAAGCAGATTTTCTCGCGTGGTGTCCAGCCGAGCCCAGAAATCCGCGCGGGCCTTCGAGAATTATGTGTGCAGTCGGGGCGTTGACCCAAGGAACCCTAAATAAGGAACGAGGCCCCTTCTATCCACAAGCTGAACTTCGATTTCCCATCGAAAACCAAAGGAAAACCCGAGGCAGACTGTGAAGCAGTCAAGGAACATGGAGCCCCTCCCCAACGAAAAGGGTCCCTTCTTCAGGGCCCCGACTGTATGCCGCTTGTTGCTCTTGCGCGAGGCGGCACTTGAGATCTGGGCGTCGCGCTGTCGAGGCGGGCGTGCTCGCCAGGCCTCGGGCCCCCAGGGACCCTCGGCAGACCGATCCCGCTTACGGCGAGCGGCGCAGGAGGACGGGGTCCAGGCATCTGGTTGCGTTTTTTGTTGAAGGGACAAATAAAAAGATTCCACATATTTTCCCATGTGTCTTCTGGATTTTTGTCTTCCCCCCCACCTCCCATATTTTCCCATGTTTTCCCGGGACTCGACGATTCATTGTGTCTGTGTGTGTTTTTCCCCTCCTGAGAGTGGCGCAGGAAGATGGGGTCCAGGCATCTGGTTGCGTTTTTCTGCGATGCCTATGTCTCCGAGCCGTGGGATCTCAGGGGAAGGGCGAGCCTGCGCGGTGGCCTGCGCAGGCCGCCCTGCGCGGGACGCTGCATGATTGGAAGCAAGTGGCGCCGACGCGCGGCCTTGCGCAGGGAGCTGCTTGCTCCGCGCAGGCCAGCCCGTCTTTTTGTTTGGTTGCGGGGGAGGAGGAGGAGGAGGAGGAGGAGGAGGAGGAGGAGGAGGAGGAGGAGGAGGAGGAGGGGGAGCCGTTCCTGTGGTAGCAGGACAGCCGCTCGGAGCGCACCAGGCGGAGGAAGTGCGCGAAGGTCCGGTTGCCCGGGGGGCCCTCGCCGCACGTGGCCAGGATCTTCGCCCAGACCGCCAGCGTGGCCTCCAGCTCCGGGGCGGAGTCCGCGTCGTCCTGCTGCAGCAGCTTGGTGAGGTAGGGCCGCACGCCCACCATCAGCGCCTGTGAAAGGGGGCCCTGTGACACACACACACACACACACACACACACACACACACACACACACACACACACACACACACACACATATATATATATATATGTACATATATATATATGTACATATATATATATACACACAAAAATGACAGGATTCCCATATTTTCCGATCTTTTCTTGGTCTTTGTCTTCCCCCCCACGTCCCATAGTTTCACCTATTCTGTGGGGGATCGACGATTCATTGTGTCTGTGTTTTTTCCCCCTCCTGAGCCCCCTACCCCTACCCCCCACCAGATCGAAGGGGGAGGGTGGGGTTCACTTCGTCCGGGGCTCTCCCGAGCGAAGTGAACCCCACCCTCCCCTTCAGAAATCGTGGGGGGCCCAGACCCCCGATGTAATGATTTTTTCGTTACGTTGCCCTCCAGAGGTCCCGACCCTTTCCCCATGACCGGCTTTGCATCCTGAGTCGTTTTTTGACGCTCCCGAGGCCCGGTGAGGGCCCCCGGAGGCCGAAAATTGGGAAACACCTCCCGTCTGGATTTTTTCCATACTCGCGGGGGTCTGGGGGTAGGGGCAGGGCTCGCATGCGGCCCCCTCAGCCTGGCGCACCGCCCACGGCCCCAGGTCCACGAAGCAGCCCAGCAGCAGCAGCGCCTGCAGCCTGCAGCTCGGGTGCAGCAGCCCCTGCAGCAGCACCGGCAGCTCCGCGGGCGGCTCCGGGGCCCGCTCGGGCGCGCCCTCGGCGCCCTCCTCGGGGGAAGCCGGGAGCCCAGAATGTCCAGCGCATTGACAAACTCGAGAACAAAGGTTTTTTTACCCAACAGCGAAGACTGATAGGCTTCTAGTGGTCTCAAAAGAGAGCACCATGACTCCCCAGGGGGGTCTGGGCAGATGCCGGACGGGATCCAGGGATTCCTTTTTTAGCCAACAGTAACGAACTTCGTGGTCTTCGACTTCCCAGAACTCCATTACTGGGAATGATTTTGAATGCCCAGAGCATTCCACCAAAAAATGATTTTGAAGCCCAGAATTTCCAGCGCATGGACAAATTCGAGGCCAAGGTTTTTCTAAGTTTTCGGCTTCTGGGGGCCCTCGCTGGGCCCCCGGACTCCCAAACAACGGCTCAGCTAGGATGAAGCGGTCCCGGGGAAAGGGTCGAGACTACTGGGGGCCCCGCATGGAGAAAATCGCGACATCGGATCTCTGGGAAGTACCGATGCCGCTACTCCCCGGACCTCTCCCGGGGTGCGTTCCATGACAAGGAGGTCGGCGCGACGCCAGCAGTGGCGACGAGGGCCCCCCAGAAGGCCCAGAAAGGGCAACCGGGCGGGGGCTAGAGGTGTGGGTACCCTTTCCCGACGCCTCGCCTTTTTCTCGAGGCACGTGCCCCCGACCTCCCGACCACGTCCCCGGGACCAGCCTCTCGTCCCGAGTCGTTTTTGGACGGTCCCAATTTATTAGACATGCTTGAAAATAGATACGTTTAGATACGGCCCGCGCTCCCGCGCAGGCCTGGGGCGCGCATCTAAAAATAGTGTGTATATATATATATATACATGTATATATATATATATATATATATATTTATATATATTGTCGTCGTTGCAGAAAGATAGATACGATGGGCTTCTCGCCTGCGCCAGGCGCGATCGCATCTCAACGCATCTATTAGTTTTAGGTGCGCATTGCAGGGGCGCAGACGAGCAGAAAACCTCCGCCTCGATTCTTCCTCGAGGCGCCCGCGGTCCGAGCCATCCTCGTGGCCCACGCCGTGGAAGCGCAGCCACACGGAGAAGGCGACCATCTGCTCGTCGAAGAAGGCCGCCCGCCGGTGCTCCTCCGGCGGGCCGCCCGCGGCCGCGAGGGGGCGCTGCGGCGAGGGGCACTGGGCCCGCCCCAGGCGCACCAGGAAGAGCTCGAGGGTGGAGTCCCAGACCTCACGCAGGAGGAGGGGGGAGGAGGGGGAGGGGGAGGGGGAGGGGGACAAGTGAGGTGCGCTCGCGTCAACATCTGACCTCCTACCCCTCCCTCCCATCCCTTACCACTGCGCTGATTTTCTCTATCCGCGGACGCGTGTCGTAGCGGACCTGTGGCTCCGCGCGCGTGTGCGTAGTGGGTGGTGGTGCGCGTGCGTGCGTGCGTGTGTGCGTGGTTGTGGTTGTTGTGGTGGTGGTGGTTTCTAGTGGTGGTGTGTATGTGTGTATGTGTGGATGTGTGCTGTGTGCGTGTGTGCGTGTGTGCGTGTGTGCGTTGTTGTTGCGGGTGAGCGTGTGTGCGTGTGTGCGTGTGTGCGTGGTGTGCGTGTGTGCGTGTGTGCGTTGTGCGTGTGTGCGTGTGTGCGTTGTGTGCTGAGTGTTGGTGTGCTGAGTGTGGTGTTGTGCGTTTTCTCGTGTTGTGTGCGTGTGTGCGAGTGTGCGTGTGTGCGTGTATGTGCGTGTAGTGCGTGTGAGCGTGTTGCGTGTTTGTGCGTGTGTTGCGTGTGTGCGTGTGTGCCGTGTTGTGCCTCTTTTGTTCTGTAGTGCGTGTGTGCGTGGGAAGTGTGCGTGTGTGCGTGTGTGCGTTTATGCGTGTCTGCGTGTGTGTGTGTGCGTGTGTGTGTGTGTGTGTGTGCGTGTGTGTGTGTGTGTGTGTGTGTGTGCGTGTGTGCGTGTGTGTGTGTGTGTGTGTGTGTGTGTGTGTGTGTGCGTGTGCTGTGGTGTGACGTGGTGTGGCGTCTTGGTGGTTTGGTGGTGGGCCAGGTGCGTACGTGCGTGATGGCGGTGGAGGAGGAGGAGGAGGAGGAGGAGGAAGCGGAGGAGGAGGAAGAAGAAGAAAGGAGACGGAGGAGGAGGAGGAGGAAAGGAGGGGGAGGAGGAAGCAGAGGAGGAGGAGGAGGAGGAGGAGGAGGAGGAGGAGGAGGAGGAGGAGAAGGAGAAGGATGAGAAGGAGGAGCTCGAGGGCGGAGTCCCAGACCTCCGAAGGGGCCCAAGGACACACAAATAGATGCACACAGAAATGCCAGGATTCCCCATCTTTTCTCATATGTTCTGGGCTTTTTGTACTCCCCACCACACACACTTCCAATAGTTTCCAGTATTGTCCCGGGAAGCAGCGATCAATTGTGTCTGTGTTTTCTCCTCTCCTGCACCTCCCACAGGTGGTGCCCGTGCGTCGGCGGCAGCGGGGGCCGCGAGGAGGCCTGGAGAGGCTCTTTTCTATGCGAAAGAACCTGCACCTCACGCCAGCATCTGGCGGACGCAGGGGTCCAAATACACGTCGGTGAGCGCTCGCGTTTGAGCCGGGAGGCCTGGACCCAGACCCCCGACCTAATGATTTTTTCATTACGTCGCCCTCCAGAGGTCCCGACCCTTTCCCCATGACCGGCTTTGCATCCTGAGTCGTTGTTTGACGCTCCCGAGGCCCGGTGAGGGCCCCCGGAGGCCGAAAATTAGGAAAAACCTCCCGTCATGATTTTTTCAGTGCTCGAGGGGGTCTGGGGAGCTCGGTCGTTCCTCCCCCCCTCCAGGACGTCCTGCGACGGGGGCCCCCGGGCGGGGGAAGAGGTCGGGCAGGCGAGCCCGCCGCAGCATGCCCGTGAGCACCACGGGCGTGCCTGTCAGCACCACTCCTCCTCCTCCTCCTCCTCCTCCTCCTCCTCCTCCTCCTCCTCCTCCTCCTCCTCCTCCTCCTCCAGGCCTGCGCCAGAACTGCCCCCCCACCCCGGCCCCACGCGCTCCCCAGACCCCGTCGATGCATGACAAGTTTGGCGATGCTCGGCCTCTGGGGGGCCCCTACTGGGCCTCGGGACCGGCAACCAAACGACCCAGGAGGAAAAGCCGGTCCAGGGGAAGGGGTCCAGACCTTGGGCGTCGACGTCCTGACAAAAATCATGACGTCGGGGGTCTGGGTCGGCACCGTGACCTGGAGGGGGAGGGCGAGGGGGAAGCGAAGCTGCGCACGACGGACGCCACGGGCTCGCGCGCAGAAGCCGGCTCCTGCAGCCCGAAGGAGTGGAGGATGCGCGCCGCCAGCAGGAAGTTGCGGCAGAGCTCCGCCAGGGCGCCGTCCTCGCGGAAGAGGCGCCAGAAGACGCTGGGCGCTAAGGCGCTCCACGCGATGGCGTCGGTGACCGCCGTGAGGACGGAGTTCAGCTCCCCGAGCGAGGTGCCGCGGTCCTGCGAAGGGCTCGACCCTAACATCGGGAGGGACGAAAGGGCAGGACAGCAGCGGGCAGGGTAGAGAGTCAGCTCACCCAGCCAGCAGCCAGCTGGTTTCCCTGGCGCCTCCTGGCGCCAGGAAGTGCCCCTGTATCGAGGAATGGGCCAGGCGGCGGGGCGGAAGCCAGCTGCATGCCGCACATTTCGGAGTCCCCCCCCTTTCCGTATCGTACCCTTTCGCTCCGCCCGACAAAACCATGTCTTCCGTCCTCGTTCTGCTTCCGCTGTCCCCCGTTTTCTCCTCGCCTCCGTGCCGCCACTGCTGCAGAGCGACATGGAAAGGAGAGCGGCCCGCGCAGTCGCCAAGACACCGCTTAATTACGTCCGTCAGGCCCTGGTCCTGTGGCCGGCCCGTGACCAGGCGCACGGCGTCCAGGGCCGCCGGGGACACGGCCCTGCCCCGCACGCGGTAGAAGCTGAGGGCTGTCTTGACGGGGGCGAGGACCGAAGGAGAGCGAGCTGCATGAGCAGACACTTCTGCAGCTCCGTGCGCGCTGCCTTGGATCGGCGCTGGGCCTCCCACCCCTGGCGCGCGGAGCGCGCCGGAGGCGCCCCCCAGCTGAGGGGGGCCTGTGGGAGGGCAGGGGGGGTGGGCCTGCCGCGCCGATCCGAGAAAACCCGCGCGGAGCTCTGGAAGTCTCTGCCCGAGGAGGAGGAGGAGGAGAAGGAGGAGGAGGAGGAGGAGGAGGAGGAGGAGGAGGGGGGGAGGAGGAGGAGGGAGGAGGAGGAGGAGGAGGAGGAGGAGGAGGAGGAGGAGGAGGCGGAGGGGCGGGGAGGAGGAGGAGGAGGAGTAGAGGAGGAGGAGGAGGAGGAGGAGGAGGGAGGAGGAGGAGGAGAGGAGGAGGAGGAGGGAGGAGGAGGGGAGGAGGAGGAGGAGGAGGAGGAGGAGGGCGGGAGGAGGAAGGAGGAGGAGGAGGAGGAGAGGGGAGGGAGGAGGAGGGGGAGGAGGGAGGAGGAGGAGGAGGAGGAGGAGGAGGAGGAGGAGGAGGAGGAAGGACGAGGAGGAGGGGAGGAGGAGGAGGAGGAGGAGGAGGAGGAGGGAGGGAGGGGGGAGGAGGGGAGGAGGAGGAGGGGGAGGAGAGGAGGAGGCGGAGGAGGAGGAGGCGGAGGAGGAGGAGAGGAGGAGGAGGAGGAGGAGGAGGAGGAGGAGGCGGAGGAGGAGGAGGAGGAGGAGGATGCTGCCCTGTCCCCTTCGAGATGAGGCAGGAGGTGAAGAGGTCCGCCGGTAGCCCCAGCTTGCCCCAGGGCAGCCCCTCCGATGCCCCACAGGTGCCTGGGGCAATGCCAAAGGGGGGGGGGTCACCACCAGGGAGTCCCCACTTCCTCGAGGAAGCGCCCACTCCTCTCGAGGGAGTGGGCCTCTGAGAGCACTCTGGAGCCCGCCCAAAAGACCCCCAACGCCCGTCCTCGAGCTTCGATCCTGCAAAGCCCCAGACCCCCGACGTCGCGTCTTTGTTTCGCAACGTTGTCCCCCAGAAGTGTCTGGACCCCTTCCCCGGGGCCGGTTTTTCATCCCAAATCGTTTGTGACGGTCCCCGGAGGGCCGGTCAGGGCCCCCAGAGGCAGAAAATAGCGAAACACGTCCCGGCGTGCGGGCTGTGCTGGAGTACTTCACCTTGGACACTGTAAAAGACAAGGCAGGCCAGTGCCATATATACATGATCTTTGTTCACGGCGCGAGGGGGTCTGGGTCGATCTCCAGGGGGCACTGGTGACCCCGCCAGTGGCCACCCCCCCGTTGGCACTGCCCGAGGGCCCAAGGCGATCACGTCCTGCCACGCCGGGACCAGCTCGTCCAGCGAGCGCACGAGCCGGCCGGCGTGCGGGCAGTCGAACGCGTAGACGGCCGGCTCGCGCAGCTGCTCGTGGACGGCCTGCAGCGGCAGGGGCCGGTGCTCGTTGGAGTCGTGGTCGTACACCTAGAGTTAGGTCGAGCATGTCCATCTACAGGCGGATGTTAAAAGAAAAATGAACATTCATGGCATATTCAACACGTGCTCAAAAAATACGGGACATCGTCCCCGGACTATTCCTTACCATTCGTGAAAAAAATCCTCCTGTAGAGGGACACGCCCGACTCAAACCTAGAGGGGTAACACACATTGCATAAGCATCATAACCTGTCGGAGGTCCGCGTGGATTGCTTGGATCGGCGCTGGAACCGCATCCCTGGCGCGCGGGTGGCTCCGCGCTGAGGCGAGATGCCCACGCGGACCTCAGACAGTTTGTGTGTTCTGCCCCTCCTCCTCCTCCTATTCCTCCTCCTCCTCCTCCTCCTCCTCTGAAGGGGCCCCAGGACACACAAACAAATACACACAAATAATCCCCCATATTTTCCAATATTTTTTTCTGAGTTTTTGCCTTCCCCCCCCTTCCCATATTTCCCCATATTTTCTGGGAGTCGACGATTAATTGTGTCTGTGTGTTTTCTCCCCTCCTGGTCCTCCTCCTCCTCCTCCTCCTGCCCCGGGGCAGGGGGCCGGTGCGCTGGTGCGGCACGCACGCGGCGCCCTGGGGAACTGAAGGCCGCGTTCCCTCGTCGTCACGTTGGCGACACCCTTGCGGTGGCCCACCTGGTACGCTGCCAGGGCTCGGGCGGTGTCGCGGGCCCCCTTTGGTGGGGGGGGCTCATTGGCGGATCCTCGCCAACTCTTCCCACGGTCACGGTCCCCCGCCGTGGCGTGCGTGAGGGTGAGCGGTCGCCCGAGGGAGTGGTGCCCCTCGGGTGTCTTATCGGGGCGGCATGGATATGGTGCTGTGTCGTCATGTGTGCGGCTCGAAAATGGTCAAGATCTGAGGGTGACGCCAGGAATGCGCCGTGAGTGAGGGAGGTAGCTGTTCGCGTGGTTTCTGTTACCTGTTCGCAGCTCGCCCTGCGTCCCTCTTCTGCTCCCTCTCCCAGGCTGCGTCTGCGTTAGTCCTGATGCTGACTAGGTACACGTCGCTTAATGTGGCACCTCCCATTGGGGGGCAGGTTGTGACGCTGGCGTGCTACTTGTGCAGACGCATGGTAGGGAGAGGGCAGGGCCGTGCTAAGACGCATTGTAAGCCCCCTCTCATAATACGATTCATACTTTTCATGCCGATATCCTGCCGACATCCTCCTCTTGCTCCTCCTCCGTCTCCCCCTCGCCTCCTCCTCCTCCTTCTCCTCCTCCTCCTTCTCCTGCTCCTCCTCCTCCTCCGCCTCCTCCCACTCATACTCTGTCTCCCCCTCCCCATCCGAATTCGTCCTCATAACTCCTCATCCTCCTCCTCCTTCTCCTCCCTCCTCCTCCTCCTCCTCCTCCTCCTCCTCCTCCTCCTCCTCCTCCTCCTCCTCCTGCTCCTGCTCCTGCTCCTCCGTGTTCTTTGCCCTGAGCTCACCAGGAGCTTGCCCTCGTCCTTGAGGGCGGGGAGGCTGGGCGCGTGGTGGTGCATGTAGTGGAACACGACACGCTCGCTCGTGAGCGTCCGGGTGGCGGTGGTCACCTGGGCGGCGAGCAGCCGCTCAGCGCGCGCTCTCTCTCGGATCGGCGCTGGGCTTCCCATCCCTGGCGCGCGGAGCGCGGGAAAAGGAGGAAGGAGGGGAGGAGGAGGAGGAGGGGGAGGAAGGAGGAGGAGGAGGAGGAGGAGGAGGAGGAGGAGGAGGAGGAGGAGAGGCAGGAGGAGGAGGAGGAGCAGGAGGAGGCGCAGGAGGAGCAGGAGGAGGAGGAGGCCAGATGGGGGGGGGCTGTGCGGGGGAGGGGGGGGGCCTGCCGCGCCGATCCGAGAAACCCGCGCGGAGCTCCAGACGTCTCTGCCCAGGCTCAAGTCGGGTATGTCCCCCTACGGGCGGATGTTGTATGGCAAATAAACAACAACAGCCAAACAAAGCACAACAGCAACAGATCGTCACCAGACGATCTGTTACCATTCTTGAACAATTCTCCTGAAGAAGGACATGCCCCACTTTAACCCTACCCCCACCAACCATTGATTCTACAATCGAGCTGCCTGAATCGTTGATCGGCCAGGGTTGGAGTCGGTCAAAACTGCACGGACCGAGATGGAGGAACAAGGGCAAATGGAAGCGCGATGGAAGAACAAAGGCAACTCCCCTCGAAATCGGTCCATGGCCCCCTCCCAGGGTCCATCTGGTGCCACTGTTCGCCCCGGGTCCGTTTGTGACGGTTCCGCGGCACGCAAGCAGACCCCGGGAGGCCGCAAGAGGCGAAACCAAGCAACGAAAAACTGATCGAACCCAGAACCTCGAGCCTCGCACCCCCTTCCGTGCTCGCCCGAACCCGTGCTGGGCCAGCTCAGACCCTCCGCCGGCTCGAGGGCGAGGGTCGGGGGGCCGGCGCCTCTGATCACATCCGATAAGACTCCAGAGCGCGTGCGTCGCCCCTCGTGGGGGCCGACGTACGCATGTCGGGGGCGCGCGCGCATGGATCAGGGGATGTGCCCTGTCCAAAATGCGGCCGGTGCCGCCTCGCTCGGCGGCGGAAATGCGCGATGTGCCACGGAAGCGGGGCCCGTCGCTAATCCACGCCCCCTTGATCCATGTTTGCGATCGCCTGAAAGTGGTATAGGACGGCGTAAAGAGAAACTTTCGAGGGTCCGTACGGACTTCTTGGATCCGCAATGGACCCGCCTCCCTGGCGCGCGGAGCGCGCCAGGGGCGGCGCCGGAGGCGCCGTCAGGGGGGCCCAGCACAGACCCAAGAAATCCGCGCAGAGCTCCGAACGCTTACGTGCATGCAGGTTCTTGTTCTTCAATGCTTGGATGAGGCAGAGCAGGGTTCAGACTGCGTCGCCGGTCGCAGCGCGCCCGCCCCGCACAGAGCGCCCGCACAGCATGCGCGCACCGCGTGCCCGCACAGCGTGCCCGCACAGCGTGCCCGCACCCGGGCCCAGGCCCCGATCTGACGACGCGCGCGCGCAGAGATGGAAACAGACCGCTCGGACAACCCTCGGTGAATACCCGTTGGCGTGGAGGAGGAGGAGGAGGAGGAGGAGGAGGAGGAGGAGGAGGAGGAGGAGGGGGAGGAGGAGGAGGAGGAGGAGGGAGAGGAGGAGGAGCCAACGACACGCTGGGGAGCGCGCGCGTCAGCTGCTTAGCGCCGCAGCGGCCCTGCGCCGCCCAAGAGGCATCGGGGGAGCCTCAGGGCGCGGCGGGCGGCAGCGACGACCTCCTTGTGGTAGTTGTACTCGTTGTTTCTGGCGGGCATGCCGAGCTCAGAGCGTGCCCGCAGGATGTTGTAGCTGCGGTAGGCCACGGCCAATCGAGTGATGGCGCGCCTCGGGTGATCGTCGATGATGCCGTTCTGGTGGAGGCCCAGGCGTGTGAGGGCATCGCCACCAGGTTGCCCACGTGGTTGAGCCATGAGCGCCCACATCCGAGGGCACGAGATGTAGTGGCTGATGTCGTAGGTGTTCTTGGCTTGCAAGTCCTTGTCGCATCCGAACATGCAATTCTTCTTGTGGGGGTTGACGTGCATGCGGTGTGAGGTCGTCCATGCGCCTGACAAGGTCTTGACCGCAGGCCAGAAGAGCGAGGCCGAGGAGTTCGCCAGGTGGGACCGTAGATCACGCCATACGTGTTCAACACTGGCGGGGAGAGCAGCGCGGCCAAGAAGTCCGTCACGAGCGGATGTATCGGTGCCCATCATGATGTCACTGGTAGAGTGGATGGGAAGCGTGGAGGTGGTCGTAGCAGTAGACTGAGTGTCACCGTCTTCCTGCGGGAGGTTCGGGTTGGTGGCACGTTCGCGTTCGATCCAGCGGCGACGGGCACGGTGTTCAGCAGCTTCGTCAGCAAATTCTCGATGGGTAGTGGACGACATGTGCTCGGTGGTGTAGATCTGCAAGCGGTAGTTGCGTGGACGGTCAGCTCGGTGCCACGCACCGAGACATATCTCTGTCGCCATGTCACGGCGAGTACAGGCAGACCCGTAATGGTCATCGAGGCAGAAGTGCGCATTGAACTGGGTGCGGCGAAGAACCGCTGTGACGTAGGGGACGCGCCAGTCCATCCAGTCGATGAAGTTGTCCATGTCGCAACCGAAGAACACGCTGGGGATCCGTCTTGCTGCCCATGCTTCTGCGCGTTCGTTCAGGTACTTCATGGAGTCGCGGTCGTCACTCTCAGTCTGTTGCTCGGATGTAGAAGGCGCCATCGGAGGTCCGCTGTCGACAGGAAGTAGTGGGAACCAAGCACAGAGACGATGATGAATGGTCTTGTGGAAGGAGTCGTGGTACAGCTGGCGTTGTAATTCCCGTGGGTAGGCTTGCTGTGGGGAGATTCGTGATGCGACCCTCGAAGTAGTAGCGCTCGAATGGTTGAGCCCAGCTTGTCTCTGTTGAAGTCCGCCAGTCCTGTCGCGACTGGGTGCGTGATGGTCACCAGCCCTGTCACGGCTTGGTGCTTGGCAAATACCAGTCCTGTCACGACTGTGTGTGCAGAGATCCTCCGCCATGTTACGGCGTGAGGCCTGGATAGCGTGCCGTCCAGCTGCAGCAGCTTGCGCGTGAGCTCGTTGAAGTACACGGGCGGCGTTCACCGTAGATCCCATGGTTCGCGTGAGAGTCTTGAAGATGGAGCCCTTGCCAGTCACGATCATCTTGTTGTGAAGGATGGCGTCGAATCGCTGCACGATGGAAGTGGTGTCAATCCAGCATGAGGCAGACCATCTGCCAGCCACTACATCTCGTAGTGTGGGGATGTCTTCAGCATGAGCACGGAATTCGTGAAGCAGGGGCTGCCAGTCAGGGATGGTGGTAGTGGAGGCGCGCCACATAGTCGCAGCAGGAAGCGTTTCAATACCCTGCGGGATCGTGGCGGACGCCCACAGCGTGAACGGCAGGACGTCCATCTTCGCGAAGTTCGAGGGGGGAGCACGTACCAACGTGTGGAGGCCATGAATCTCCTTGGACAGGAATGCTGGGGATGGCGGGTAGAGCTGGCCCACGTACGAGAGACAGGTGATGGCGGCAGAGCTGTACATCTGGATGCACTGCTGGATGGGAGCGTTGGAGTCGCTCAGGATCTGAATGCGTCCCCACCATTTGTTGGCAGGGCCTTGCCATTGACGGTCAAGAGAGGCGCCAGGGCCAATGTGCACGCCGAGGTATCGCGCAGAGCTGTTGATGGAGAAAGCTTGCCACGGCTCGTAGAGCTGGGTCAGGATAGCCCGCATGTTCGCGGTGATCTCGGGCGTCGGAAGGGACCAGGTGGGCACGAGGACGCATTTCTTCTGTTGGAGGCGGAGGCCAGCGTAGTGGTGAGCAGCTTGCAGGCGTGGGAGAAGGGCGCCAAGATCCCGAAGTGCAGCAATAACGATACCCAAGTCATCGGCGCAGGCACTGACAGGCCTCTGCCCAGAGCGGCGGGTTCCATCTTGAGGCCTTTGATGGTGGGGTCGAAGACGAGCGCCCGTAGCGCGCCGCTCAAGGGGCAACCATGGGCAGTCCCAGATTCTGCGAGAAGCAGCGGTCGTCGAACCCCTCCAAGCTCGAGAAAGGCAAGTGGCATGCTGTAACAACTTTGCAAGATATGGAGAAAGACGCCGTGGATGCCCCACCGCCTTAGGGTAGCCCACAACCACTCGTGTGCAAGGCTCGGAAGCGCTGCAGCAATGTCTATGCTGGAGAAGCAAGGCATCATGTCGGGGGCTTCGCTGTTGATGCTAGTGAGGCGGGCGATTGTGTCAACCTTGACGATGCTGGAGAGAAATTGACGGCCATCGGCAAATCCTTGTTGCTCTTCTTCGGTACCCGACGCAACGGAGTTGAGGATGCGGTTCGTCGCGGAGGCGATGATCTTGATGTCGCTGTTCTTCATGGCGAGGGGGCGGAGACAATCAGGGCTGCGGGAGCACTCGCAGTTGCCCATGGGCTCGTCGCCGTTGGGAAGCATGGCCATGATCGCGTAAAACAGGCCGTAGGGGATCGGCCCGCCGAGAGCGATGGAGCGGAGGAGGTCGTGGAGTATTGCGATGCTGCCGTCTGATCGTACCCATGCGCGGTAGAGGAGTCCGACAGGTCCAGGAGCTGAGCCACTTGCGAGTTTAGCAGCGGCTTGGAGTTCATCAATCCCAGGTAGAGGCAGATGGCGCGGAGGTGCTGGTGGGAAGACCATGTCCAGGCACTGTTGCGTCGCAGGGGGGTCCACTGGCTTGGCCGCAAACACCTTCGACCAGTGAGATTGAATAGCGCTGTGCATGCTCATGGGGTCGTTGGCGATTGTCGGGCCTCTGCTGTCGGCGATGCGAACGCCTGCGAGAATTAGGCGCTTCGAGAACGGCTTCCAAATCTCACTGCGGCTGTCCAATGCGGCGAGCGCGACGTCGCCATTGCTCACCAAGATCGGGCCGTTGTTCCGCGTAGGCAGCTCGCGAGCGGGCGGCAGCAGCGCGACGTCTCTGTTCTGCGATCTGGCGCTGCATGGCTGAGTGCTCAGTCTCGAATGCGATGCGGTCGACCAGAGAGATCGCGTGGTGACGGATGTCGATGTGTTTTGCCCCAGCGATGGTGTCGTTGCGAAGCCGCTGGGCAAGGGTGAGGTCCTGGTACCAGATGGCCCTGGCGATACTGCGGAGCGTGAGCGCACGTGCCTCTGCTATGACATGTGGGTCTTCCCTTGGGCTCTCGATCGGCATGAACTCGGAGGCGGAGAAGGTGGTGAAAGTGTCGCGAGACTTGCGCGCCGCCAGCTTCATTATGTGCTTCATTCTCCGCCAGTTTGAGATGGGGTCGGCAGAGAGGCCGGCCATCTCGACAAGGCGCTGGAAGTAGAAATTGTAGCGCCTGGACTCGAAGAGGAAGGCAGGGATGCCACGCTCACTGACTGGGCGTTGCTGGCGAGGTCAAAGTCGTAGATGTAAAAGCTCGTGATCGCTGATGGGCTCTCCTTCACGGTCAAGGGGTCTGCCACCGGCGACAGGAATTGACTCGATGTGCAGGATGTTGGACGCGTTGATCGAGACGAAGCATCTGTGGATAGTCGCCTCAGTTAGGTTGGCAGCGCATCGGTGAGTGGTGGCTTTCGTCGTGATCTCCATCATCTGTGAGAAGATGTTCTTCCAGAAGACAGGCTGGTAGTGGTAGCGCTCGGCGGTGGAGTCAGCGGTGGGGTGGAGCAGGCTCTTCGGCGGCGTCTGGGCGATGTTGAAGTCACCGACCATGTAGTAGTCGTGGCTGTCAGGGTGGAGGGCAGAACGTTGAGCAGCTGCTTGCCACGCAGCTTTGAAGCGCTGTCGGTCAGAACCGCTCAGGTCCTAGTTGTGCATGTTGAATATGGTCGTCTCGTGTTGCCTTGCCCCATCTTGAACTCGTAACTCACCAGTGCGACCAGGGACGATCGCACGGAATGTACGTAGAGGCCGATGATCAGGTGGCAGTTGGTGCTCGACTCGATCAAAGAGAACCAGGAAGGCGACGCCGCCTGCAGACTCCGAGGATTGGCCGTCAGTCACGAGTGCTGAATGGAAGGCGATGTACTTGTGGTCGGTGCTCGCAGCCAGGATGTCCATGTCGATGCTGTTGCCGTGTGTCTCTTGGAGGGCGATGACCGCTCGTTGCCGCATGTAGGGGAGTAGCACCTGGCGCTTGAGGGCCCGTCGTGATGCCGATATGCCGTTGAGCGCCTGCGTGTTCCAAGAGACCATGTTGAAGCCGTCGGGGTGTGGTTTCGTGAACCACGGCGACCAACGAGTGCTAAAGCCACCGTACTGCCTCCAGTGGGTTGGCGAAGGCAGCAGCCAGCGCGGTAGCCAAGGGCATGTGCTCGGTGGTGGGGATGCCAGCGGGAGCAGCTGCGTCGGACCATCGAACTTGGGTAGCTGCATCAGGCGTGGCTCCAGCCGTGATCTGGACGATGGGGGCACCGTTGATGGACAGAAAGCCGCCAGTGCGGTGGACCCGAGTCTCGAGCATGGGGAACTTGTCATTGATGAGCTTGTTGAGCTTTGTGAGTTGTACTTCCTGTCGGACCATGCGTGGAGATTTGTCCGCGGAGACGTAGAGGGCAGTGGGGCCAGAGTCAGAATCCACTTGGAAGCGACGCCATTCCCGTCCTTGTCGGAGTGCGCGATGCAGAGCCTGGGCTCGCGGGAGAGCAATCGTATTGCCACCAGTGAGTGTGAATGAAATTATCCGTGCTGGGCCATCCCAGTTGATGCGGAGCGCGTTGATGTCCACGTCGGCGGCGTCGAACCAGGAAGCGAGCGCGGTCTTGAGCGAGGCAACGGAGAACTCTGAGGCAGCACCACACCAGAAGGTAGCTGCATTCGGTGGGCGGTCCCAGGCTCCAATGGCGTCCAGGTCCATAGCTGGGTGGAGAGCTTCTGCATGACGAAGAGCTTGTTGTAGGGCGTCAGCGCTGGCCTTGAGGTCTCCTTGGAGTCGTTCAGCACGGTCAGCACGGCCTTTGAGTTCGGCAATGTCCCTCTCGGCGGACTCCTGGCGGGTGCTGAGCTGTTCGGTGAGCTTCGTGATGTTTGCCAGGAACTCGGCTTGCGCAGCGGCAGCGACTTGCTTGGAGGTGGTTTCGAAAGCGGCGGCGGCTTTGTCGACCTGGGTCTGGAGAAGATCGGTGAGTGCCTTCCGCTGGTGTGCTGGTAAGTCGATTGCAGCAAACTTCTGAGCGCCAGCGGCCCAGGGGTCGGCCACGGAGGTGCCCTTGCGCTTGCCCTTGTCGAAGGAGTCGGCAGAGCTAGAGACGCCTGGCAGTCCCATCGCGAGGCGAGCGAGTACAAGGCCAGCGCTGCTGGCGAGTGATATGTAAGCTGCGTCTCTGCAGCAAAGGATATGGAGATGCTCAACGCCGCGGGCACGGCGAAGGCGGAAAGCGGCGGTCCTAGCAGTCCCCGGACCAGGGGTCTCCGTGCTCTGCCACGGGACAGGAGGAGGAGGAGGAGGAGGAGGAGGAGGAGGAGGAGGAGGAGGAGGGGGAGGAGGAGGAGGAGGAGGCGGAGGAGGGAGGAGGCAGGAGCAGGAGGCGGAGGAGGAGGAGGAGGAGGCGGAGGAGGAGGAGGAGGAGCACGACAAAAGCGCGCTCCCCCCCCCCTCCTGGGCTGCGCAATACCCCTGGGCGTGGCCGTGATGCCGCTCCGCGCCCGCTGCCAGGCTGCCTCAGCACAGGCTGGCCGCACCGGCCACCCCTGACCCGGGTCTCCGTGCAGGCAGGGTGCAGGCAGGGAGTGCCCCCGCTCTCTCTCTCTCTCTCTCTCTCTCCCGCCCTCCGCGGCCGGTCTCTGGCCCCTCCCCCTCGTCCTCGTCCTCGTCCTCGTCCTCGTCCTCCTCCTCCTCCTCCTCCTCCTCCTCCTCCTCCCTGTCCTCCTCCTCCTCCTCCTTCTCCTCCTCCTCCTGCTCCTCCTCCTCCTCTTCCTCCTCCTCCTCTTGTAAGAGTAAGGTTCGGATGCCGCCGGCGATCACCGTCATCAGGTAGTCGAGCATCGGGTCGAAGCAGGCGCGGCAGCAGGGCGGC